GATATATGTCACGAGTATTTGCAAAAAAAGATTCATTGATTTTTTTCATTCAAGAATTACATTGCACACAAAGATTCAGATTACTAATACAATATATACTTTATTTACAAATTTTTATAATTAATTTTAATGATATGAGTATTTTCAATGAGTTTCAGTATCAAGTAATTATGAATCAGTCATACTAATTTGCATACTCGTGGCACATTTTCATCTACCTTTTAGCTTCCCTTCTTTGTACGTACGATTTTTTCGTATCAATTTTCGTTTCTTTTTTTGAGATTATTATTGTTGAGCGAGAGTAGATTTGGGCACGATGTCAGTAGTTGTATGATATTAGTTGTTTATCATAGATTTTTCCTTATATTTAACGGAGCTCAAAATTTCTCTTGTAATTAGTAGGTGCGAGATCAACGAGATCCAATCCTGATTTCCTTCCATTCCTACTCCGCTTATTTCCTTGCTCCTTTCTTTGGTTTTCTAAACCTCATACGTTGACGTAAGAATCCATGGCTGGTTACATTCTACAGCTCATAGAGAAGCGTGATTGAACTCAATAAAAGGTAAATGAACAACAAAAAAAAAAAAAGTAAAAAAGTAATCATTAGTATAATTTTTCTAATCATCTTTAATGATTCTTGTGTGAGATGTATATTTCAGTAGTAATCTTGTACAGATAATATTCACAAATATGTTGGAGATTATTATGTTTTGCGAATGATAATGCAGAAAAAAACAAATAAATATAAGAAATAGAGCAGCTCTGAGCGATGTTTAAACCGTGTTTGCATTGCGATTATATGCTTCACGATTACTCTGTCTGTTATTGTGAAAATTGTAAAGCTCTAATTGAATTGTACATAAGAAATGCATTGATTAAATGTGCCGACAAAGAGTCATTGCACGAGACTCGCAAAATCCTGTACTTGCAGGCATGACGATCTTGTAATATCGTTCCTTCCTGCTATTTTCATTTATATATTTCTTTATGATGCGAACGAGATGTATATTTTTTTTATGTTCGTATATAGTATAAATTTATATTTGAAATCTTTTTCCTTATTCCACCTGTGATTTCCTTTTATTATTTTTGATTGTGTATTATTGTGTATTAGCATGAATCAAAAACTTTAACATGACCTATAAAAAGATCTATTATATAGAAAATGCGTAGCTAAGAATGCTGATATTTTTTTATATATAAACATTCTTAGTGTTGTCAATGTTTATTTTAAATTTTAATCACTATTAAGTATGAAAAGAATATTAAAAATTTATTGAGATCGGATAACAATGTATTATACATCTAATTAGCGTTACAAATTTAAGTTTAAAGAACATTTACATTCTCAAAAAATATGCTCTTAAATATACATATACAATATGTTAAAATGACACAAACGTTTATAAAAAGAATTGTGAATCAAATGAAATGAAATACATTAAATAAAAAAAATTAATTTTTTGTATTTAATATTTAGTTTTTCATTTCATTTAACAATTCATATAAAAATGTTTGTGTAATTTTAATTTAGACTTTTTTAAATCATGATCTTATTGTGAATTATTTTATTTCTCTATAATATTTAATTTAATTAAATCAAAAACGTTGAAAATGTCTAAGTCAAGCAATAAAATAATAGCTTGGTTTATAAAACACATCTATTTATATTTAAGAGAATTTGGCAAAAAATACAATTTATTTTGATTTAAGGTAACACCAATCTATATATTAAGAGATTAACATTCCTAATTTAAATTAATACATGAACAAAGAAAATTCATACGTATATATAAATACATATAAATACTTTATATATTAAGTCGGTTACATGATTTGAAAAACTTATTTTTTTAATTATACGTCATCAGTCAAATTTAAATGCGAAGAGGCGCAGAATCGAGATTCGTTACGACTTGCAACACAATTTGAAATCTTTTGTTTCGTAATTATTTTTGCATATCGAATTTAATCGATTTTGTACATATAGATATGTAAAAATATATATCTCGATATTTTCGATCTCTAAGCGTGAAACAATTATATAAACAAATAAAAATAACATGCATATAATTATTAATTAATTGATTAATTGATAATCGAAAAATTGCCCAGTCATGGATTTGTTAAAAAATGATTAAAAAATGAAGCGGGGTTCGTATGACTATTCCACCGTTTTCACATGCATTAATGTGTTTATCTTTATAGAAGTGTGAATCATATTCATCTGATTAAACGTACATACAAATGACACGTATATATATATATTATACATATATATATATATGTACACACAATATATATACACGCGCGCGCGGATGCATATGTCATATAAATAAAATATACATAATTCATATAAATATATATAAAATATACAAATAAATATATATATACAAGGTGTTTCTTTAAGCTTTAATCCACCATTTTTTAAATATTTCTGATAATCTGTTAAAAAGATGTTTTGAATAAAAGTTAATCAGTTTTCTGTTGTCTATACTTATCTACATTTAAACATATTAATTTTTTTCTATAAAAAATCAAAATTATCTTGACTTTTTCAAATAGCATCATATATTTTTAATTTTATGGAATTATAGCTATTATCAAGATGAATTCAATAATTTATCAGATGATCTTGAGATAATCTTTGATGAATTTTTTTAAAAATTTTTATTATTGCGATTTTTATTATTTATTTATTGCAAATTGAGTATTAATTATAATAAATTATTATCTTTTGTTCAAAATATTTCCTCGTAGAATTAGCAGAAAAATATGAAAAATTATGGTGACCATTATGATGAACATCTTGTACATATGTATATGTATACATATATAATACGAATTATTGTGCAATGACGCACGATTGTTAAATTATTATGTTGCGGTGTCCTTATCGAATGGTAATCGTGACATATTAATGAAATGCTTTTGTTACAACGCTACAGAGATTTATTCCGGTAAATCGATCTTTTATCTCTCAGTCTTTTTTTTTTTTACATCTTATTAATTTTCTGTGTATAGATTTAATGTAGCAAATTTAATTATAGAAATATTTGATTAAAATAGAAAAAAATAGGTTTCAATGGCTTAACGTATCATTTATATAATTTTGAATATTTTTTAAACGCTTTTATGTTTGTATGTACAAATTAATATTTGATATTTCAAAAATATTCAATGAATTTATGAAAATAAATATTTAAATTTACTAGAATCTAAAGTGATGATCAATTTTTAGGATTCAAAAACATCTATAAAGATTATATTTTTTTTTCTATTTTGCTTTCTTTATACAAAATGTGTTAAAAAAGAATAAATAGCATATCAAAATAAATGATAAATTTCTAAAAAATTTGAATTTAAATATTATTATAAATGATTATTATTAAAAATGATAAAAAATAATGAACTATTGAAATTAATTAATTAGAATTAGACAAAACAAGCAAATAATCCATTGACAATATTTTTCTGTAATACAACTAATAATTTTTGAATCTATATTTACTAGAAATTTTGATGAATTTCTTAATGAATATTTCAGGTCTCCGAAATTGGATACCAATTATATATTTTATACATTGCAACTTCTTTAGGATTAATAAGATCTTGTAAGAAAATTAAATACATATATGTGTACATGAATGTAAATTCGTATGATGTTGTATGAATCACTTATGGCTGTGACATTATATAGTCATATTTGTTGAAAAGTGACCAAATTTAGAAATGTCATAGAAATTTTTTACTCATATGTTGGTTATGTATGAAATAAAAATATGTAATAATCATGTTTAAAAGTTATAATTCGTTAAGCCATTGAAAATGATAGTTCCTCGTTTATCTCTATTTGATTTAAGATTTATTTTAATGTGCATCGCACAAAGCATAGTGATCGTTTTCTAATAGCATATTTTGTAAGAAAAATTTCTACATTTAATCTTTACACGAGGCAAATTCTCAAAAATTTTCAAGTTACTTAATAATTTTTACGTTTATTTCTTTTCCCATTATCGATAACATTCACTTTAAGAAATCAATCTTTTGCGATATTTCTGCGAGCATTATTTTGTATCCGTTTAGCTGTACATATATGTACGTTTGTAAAATGCTATTGATTTATATTATTAAACTATACATATATATAATGTCGTACATGTACTCTCTCGATTATTCGACTAGCTTTTGTATTAATATTGGCCCTGTCTGAGCCGAACATATAATTTTATTTTATTGTTAAATATTGAGTAATCGACAACATGTCAATGAGAAAATCACGATTCAATCCTTTTAAGAATAATTGTCAATATAAATTTATCTCGAATTATGATTTATATAATTTTAGAATTATCGAACAACTATAAAAGTCATATCGGATTATTAACAAAGAAAATTTTTCTCCGATTATCACTTCATACACTTATAAGAATAAAGGGAGAAAGGATTCAAAATAATCTCTCGCTTTAAAAAATACAACGAACAATACAAACACATTTTTGCATAAAAATTGTTCGAATTGTCGTTCAAATGAAAAATTCTATATACATAAAATTAAAATATATATATATGTTGTATTCTTACATAATATCAAATCAAACTCTGGAGTGCGCGATAATTCGAATATCTTTCCGAATTCTTCTTCGAATTTTTTTTTATCAAATCCTTTATAGCATAGAGAAATTAAAAATATTTTTTTTAGACTTTTTTTAGCTTAGCATTCGAAGCTTTTAAACATCGTGCCAAAATAATCGAAAAGAAAGAAGAAAAATCATAGTTTCTTCTTCGATTTTGAAAGTATAAAAATTTCTACGGGGTCCACATTATGTCAATGAAAAACAAATTATACGACTGTTTAAAGAACGTTATAAATTGCTCGACAATGTTCCAGTGAATTGTGTTCGCGAATTATCTTTATGCCTAACTTCAAGAACGTCCTGAGTCCTGGAATATGTTCCATGTTACAATGTGTTGTCAATAGCAATAGAATTGATTCAATTCTCGTTTTTGATACTTTTTATGTAACAATTGTTCGATAATATCAAGTATGGATTACAAGAAAACAAAAGCAAAGTTTGACACAAAGAAATATTTGTTATGTTTAATATTTAAAAAGGTATATAATATATATAGGTTATAAAATACTTCGTATGTATTACGATACAATTTTGAAATTTTCATCATTAAAGAAAACGATACGTACACTTAACAAGACAAAAAATAGTTGAAAAATAAATGTTTTGTATGTATTTCCAAAGTTCCTTAGAGAGATAGATAACATATAGCTGAGGTTAGCTTAATTAGTACAGAGTATTAATACAGTTAAATCAATGCGAGGATTATTTTATTTGTATTGTATCTCACACGTATTATGGAATATTTTGCAATAATTTATTTTTATAGATAGATAACAGCGCACGAGAATGTAACGACATCAATTATGAAGTATTATAAATTTATGGAATATAATCAACATTATTATCGATGTAACGATTTTTAATCACATGAACAAATTTATTTGTGAGATAACTAAATTTTTAGAGATTTTGTTCGTATAGTTACAATATATACGTTTCCATTGCTATCAATTGATTGAAATTATCTTTATAAGATAAAATAAATAAAATTTTTTTAAAAATCGTAAATATATGAAATTTAAAACTTATTATAAAAAAAATTATATTGATATAAAGTGGTAGCAGTGATAACGTAAAGTTAAACAAAATTAGAATTTCATCTAAAATTTTAAATATTTAAATTTTAATATTACTGCAAAACTACTGTTATCGACCGAGATTTTTGAATATTTGTAATCTTTAATTTCAGATAACAATTTATCGTTCTCAATGCAAGTAGAGAATCGCATCGTATTTACAGGTAAAAGCAAATAAAAAATAAAGCTATCGTCAAATTATTCAGATTATATGCTCCTTTAGAATTTCGAGAGCAATTGTTTTTATTTTTTTTTCGTTATATATAAAATGATATAATTATACTATAATATAGTATATGTATTCGTATCGTTATTATACCGTGCATAATAATTCGAATGATATTTGACGAATTATGTCTGATATAAATATATTCGTCAAGACGCGACAATAGTAACACTAATTAAACGTATATATTTGAGCATCGAAGAAATATATAAGTATACATATTGACAGACTCTTTCTATGATTTTTCGAGCGTGAATATAATAGAGGAGAAGGTTGTAATAGAAGAAAGAATTTATATAGATTATTATATCTGTATTTTATTGTGTCATAATAGACGTGTTTCTTACGGCCACGTCCATCGATGGAATGAACATTGACGTAAATAAATAAAACGGATATAGAAAATATAATGGTACTTTGGTAAACTTCTATTCGAAATTATTAAGATTCATTAATGATTGTATGAAAAACAATGTTTTTATATTCCCTGCAATATTTCGAATAATGAAATTACAAAAGTTGTATTTTTTGCATAAAAGTATTGAAGATAAAAACAATATATCTTGAACGAGGAATCAAAAAAAAAAAAAAAAAAAGATTACATTACAATTATAATCGGAGATTTCTATTCACAAATTTTAATAACAACTTAATCATATCGTTATTGTTCTTAACTTAATCATCGTTATTATTCTTATATTTACAGAAATGTATTTACACGCTTTGTATACATGAGTAATTTCTAGCGGCGTGTATACACATGATTTCACATTAAAATTCGCTCATTTTATAATAAGAAATCTTTCTAAAGAGATCATACAGTGAGAAAAATGTTTGGTAATTTTTGAACATATGTACATTATTCTTCAAAAGTCTGGAATTCTCTTAGAGAAACTTCTATTAGAAACTTGTAAAAATTTGTAATCTAAGATAAAATGTTTCTTGAATTAAGTTAAGTTATGTAACATTAATTATTAATTAATTAATTAATCCAAACTTTTGAACAGTATAATAATATATTAATACGCAGATGTACAAATTTACTTTAGAAATAAAAGAGTTCTCCAGATTTTTTAACAAAAAAAAAAAGGAGGACTCTTTTTCTTTTTTTTTTAAAGTAAAAATTCACATAATATTAAAGAGATCTTTGAGTATATAAATATACTTAAATTCTAAGTGTACATTGTATCATTCAAGGATCTACAATCAGGATGCTCTTAATTATCTCAAGTTGCTGAATGCATAAATGGTAATTTGCATTTTTAGATCTTAAAAAAAAAGTTTTTTTTAGGTCTCATTTCTTTATGTCCGAATCTTTAAAACATTTTGAAAAGAAAATATAAAATCGATGTCATCTAATGAACATATAACAGCATAATAAACCAAAAGTATTATATTATAAATAATTATTGACATCAAAAGTGCGATACACGTATTATTCAATGAAACGTAGTGTTTACAATAATAATATACACCATAAAATTCAACTTTAATAATTAAACGAAAATAAAATTCATATTAATTTCGTATATTATATTTTATTGACTACTTAGTAACTAACTGACTAGTAATCGGAGATCGGTTCAAGTCGATCATCTCCACTTCGAAGAATTATACATATTAGTAATCATATACAAGAAAAAAACAATAAGAAAGTTGAAAAAATGAGCACCAAAATTGACAAGTAGTTGTAATTAAATTATAACTTAATACACGAAAATCAATCATCAACATTAAATCGTCCAAAAAGAACTTTCTTCTTATGCAAATAATTCTACTTACAACTTTAATAGGAAGGAATCGCTTATTCAATAGAAATGGTAAACAATTTTGTTCACATTGAACACAATAATTCTCCACAAAAAATTCTTTATAAATTGTCTCCATGTAAAACGGAAGCAAAATATGTAACGGCAGTAACTAAACTGCCTCTTAATAATCAAAGATTTTACATTTAGAACCTTTCCAAAGAATTCAATTCTTCATTAAGAATGGCCGCTTCAGCATCCTTCTCTAGCAATTCCTTTCCATCGTCTAACTGATCTTGGCCATCAGGATCATTTACCAAAATACTCTCTTCTCCAGTTTCTAACGCATCTTCCGGAGCCAGGAACAAATTTGTTCGCCCTTTGCATTTTCTCTGGTAATCAGGATTATCTGGAGCTGGTCTGTGACAAGAATCGCAGACGGTGTCCGTTTTTGAAGTGCAAGGATGCGCCTCGTAGAGACCCGGGCCACATCTAGAGCAGATCCAGCAAGGCTGGATGCTGTGGTGAGGACTATAGGTGCCCGGTGCACATTTTCCACATTCAGTATCACGACCACGAACGCAACGGTTCACAACACCCCATCCTGGACCGCATCTGCTGCAATGGCTGCCGCCCTTCTGATGCCTGATACGTGGTCTCGCTTCGTTCACCTGGAACAACGATAAACATTGATTGATCAGAGAGAATTCGATGAACATTGGAGGCTCATGTTGCCCTTAATTGCTACACATCGAGCTTTCTTCAATGATCTCGACATTTTTCGAATTTTTGAGATTTTTTAATCGATTAACCTTTTAGAAGACGGTATACGGTTTCAATTTCGAGAGAATGAAGGATATTTTCGAGAAACGTGATAGTGATTTATTTAGAAGACAAATTATAAAGTTCGGTGGATAAAAAGTCTTCAACGAGAAATCAAGCAAACCGGTTTCGAAAAAATTTGTAGCGGCAGATGTAACAGAATTTGTAATTAATTTTAAAACCATGTTTATTAAATTATAGTTAATTTCATTTCTTTTGCAAGAATATAATTTTTTATTTATTTATATATTTTATTTATTTTATATTATGGTTTTACTTCCCACACGTTTACAAAATCCTAATTAATTTTAAAAATTATTATATAAATTTTTAAATTATTGAAAAACAAAATATTATTATAACACATATGTATTTATTTATAGTTAAATGAAAATTTCAGTTTAATTGATATATGTTCTAATATATTTATTTTTAATAAGTATATGTTTTCAATATATTTATTATTTATTTTTGTATTATTCATTCTTTATTTTTAATATATGAATTTTTCAATATATGAATATATTATGTAAATATGATAAAAAAAAATATAATAAAGTGGATAAATTAATTAAAATAAATAAATTTTTAAACTATGCATATAACGTTATAGTTATTTTTTTTAATTAAACAATCAAATATTATATGATATATGATATATAAAGTTGAAAGTCATTTTGTTCTAAATTTACAGCATAGCTTCAAGGAACAGGTGCTAAAGGATAAAACCACCTGACTATGGGAACACCTTGTGCCTTTCTTTTATAATCTCTCAAACATCGATCGAGATACAGCAGAAAATACGTACAATCAACCTGCTAAGAATTTTTTATAACTTTACCATTAGCTTTATTTATATCTTCATGAATTTTTATAAACGATCGCTTGATCTTCTTTCAGATGCAAATAACGATCTCAAAGAATATTCTTTCGAATATTTTCTTTTGAATATTCAACCTAATAACATCTTTTTTTTCAGAATTAATTTTGTATTATAATACAAAGTTTCATGTTTTTTTTATCAGATTAATTATCAGATTAGGTTAATAAGAATAATTCTATGATTAAGATATTTTTAATATTATATAGAGGCAGAAAAAATCTTTTATTTTATTAAACACAACCATTTTTTCGAGTTAATCAAAATCATTATAATTCCAACTAATTTTTATTTTTCGAAGAATATCTACACGCACAGATGTTTTATTATGATATTAATACGTTCATTTTATCATATCTATAGTAGTCCACATCGTTTGAAATTAATGAAGATAGAGGGCACGAAGAACGTCGTTTGTAATGAAAAGAACGATTCGGTCCAGTGATATAGTTTCGTCGCAGCTGACAGCTGTCGCTGTTTGTTGGCACGCGCCAACAGTCACCAAGCCATCAGGTGCATCATTGCACCGGGCTCCATTCATTTGTGAAACTTTTTCATCTTTTCTTTTCTTTTATTTCGTTGCCTTATTTTCTCCTTAACGACAACACTAAATAAATTTGATCGAGATGAAGTAATGTCAAATACTCGAAATACATACCATATTGTAAGAGTTTTTAGATTAAAATTTTAAGGTTATAGAATTTTTATAAGTTTTAAAAACAATAATTAAATATTAATTTAACAATAAATTTTTTAATATTAAGAATAAATTAATATTAAAAATAGTTTTAAAAAAAGTTTTTTTTAAATAATAATCAAATTCTTTCATTTAATTATTTTTTTCATTTATTTTTCTTAATTATTTTTCTCTCAGCGAACATTATCTTTCACAAGTAACTATCATACGAGTTCCTTAATTAAAGATAATATTATCCTCGAAGCTCTTTCTTTGTAAAAGTCTTGATTAATATGAATAAACATTTTCAAAATCATTAAAAAAGCAACATAAAATCTACATAGTTGTAATTAAATCTTTAAATCCTTTTTCATATTTTAAATAATTTCATGAAATTCTGGCATATTGTCAAATATAAATTCATTAGTATCAACAAAGATGAAACTATAAAAAACTTTTTATTCTTTTAGTTTAAAGTTCAGATTTCTTTGTCTCTCTTTGATTATATTTATTATTATACTAATATATAAACATTATAAAATATTAATTTATATATAGAAAATGTTGCATTAATTCGATTTCGGTTTAAAAATAACTTGAGAAAAACAACGAAAAATATAAAAATTTAATTATATATAGATAATTCTTCAAAAGACTCAAGTAGCAGACATATGAATTTGTAGGTAGTGTCATTTTATCGGTCGCGTAATACGAGCTCGACCATCATGTAAGGATGCACCCTGTCAATTTGCGAGTAAGACAAGTCCCGTCAAAGGGGTTAATAATAGTGATCTTTTCAGCATCGTGTTGTCATTGTCAAATTATCTGATCAGTTTTTCATTACACATACGACATATGCTGTCCCTTAAAGTAAATTCGAGCTGCTCAGGTCAATTGGCATTTGAGGTTAGTATTTCTTTTTATATATTTTGATATCAATATGATATCATATAATAATACTAATAATGATACTAATAATAATATAACGTGGTAGAAATTCAGTCACTAAAAAAAATTCAAATTGCATAGTTGAGTTGCTTAGGGATTTCATTTTTTATTGATGATCAAGAAAAGTTAGGTTAATTTTCGAGTAATTGGTAATCAATTCTTGTTTTTTTTAAAGACGATTTTACTTTTTTACAATAACTTTTCTCTTATATGATTTATAAACAGTAGTTAAAAATTCTTCTTGGAAAAAAAATAATTTTCTTCACGATCGGTGAAGCGTCTCTTCGAAAGGTCGCTGTGTCCGGAGGGTTCTTCGTCTTTAATCAATAATAAAAGGGTTGACGTACGGAAGCTGAACAGGAAATTGCATCCTGGAAAGGAATTGGCATAAGTATCCGAGTGGCTACACTTGGAAACAGTCTTTAACAATTTCCGATCATTTCTCCTTGCTTGTAACCGGGCTCCTCCTAACCTCTTCCTTTTCCTTAGCACGTAAAACACTGTCGTTCGAATACGATGAAACGTGAGCTTGACAAATCCATGGAATTTGCACTGTCTCTCTAACCACGAGGTTCAAATGACTAACGAAAAAAAAAAAAAACCAGAAGATGATACTTGAGGATACACGATTCTCGAATCAGATTTTCAAGAATAATGATCATTATTGTTTCAAGTTGAAAATTTTATTTTTTAAAATAAATAACAATTATTCATAATCAGTGAAAGAAAGAACAGTTTCTGTTTCGTAAAGAAGTGTTTACAAGATTTTTCTTCTTTCAGTTTTAATTTAAACAAGTACAAAAGAATGCACATAATCGATTATTTTATGCTCGCAAGGAATCGAAGTTTTTGAACCGAAGACAAGGAAAAGGGAGACCTTTTGTTTCGTAAACAGATGTTCAGGAGCAATCTTTCACGGGACTACATCATTTTCAAACTCAATTACAGCCCAGATATACCATCTTGTATCCATAATTCACGGAGGTACGTGTTATGATCTAGATCTGTCATGCTCGCGGCCATCATTATAATCTCAGTCTTGCCGGATAGAATTTATCACACGTTCGATCTTGAGAATCTCGAGACGCCATCGTATCTCGATACGAGTTTTAGAAATAGCTAAAAAATAATCGGTGAATAATTTATGCACTATCAGCTGTTTCATATATCTTTTTTTTATTTAAAAATTAATCGATTGAAAATCTGTTGAAATAGAATTTCTTCTGAATAATATAATTTAGGAAATGATACTTAAAAGTAATAATTAAACTGATATTGAAAGAAACCACTATTTTTGACTTCACTATTTATAAACGTAATTTTGAAAATTTAAAGATTAAACGAATTTCATGCCAATTGTTTGTATCGCGTAAAACATCGCATCATGTCGATTATTATAAAACGGAAGACGTGGAAGAAAGACTAGAAAGAGAATGATTTACAATCGGTCGTAGATCCGTAACTACAATGACGGAAGTAACGGCGCTCATAGTGACGAGTATGAATAGGACATCCGGTAGAACGGACAAAACGGAAGCAGTAATTGCGGCGGCTTTTGTGTCCCCCTTTTCGTTTTTTTTT